TTTTTAATGAGGTGGATAGGGAAGGTCCTTCTGAGTACATACCATTTAAGCAAGGATTTGAAGAAAAGATGAGTGAGTCAGGTGGATAGCTGTGAAAATAGTGCTAAGCAGACAGAACGGCAAGTGCAAAGTCCCAGGATGGAAATGTGCCTGGTTTGCACCTACTGAGGATTCTCCTTATGATTGTTCTCTTGATAGAAACACATTTAATTTCATAATTAAATATTTACCAAAAGAAAAGACAAAAAAAACAGGGAATATTGAAGTTAAAAATAATTGAGAGAGAGAAATCATTTCTAGAAAATTTAATAGTGATTTAAAAAAACGGTCTGCTGTAGTCACAAAATTGTCAATGTATTTAACAAAATATTCCATGACTTCATTTCAACTGATCTCACACATGACATACCACTTGCAAAGATAAAATCAAACTAAGATGCAAACTTTATAGTTACATCAGTAACTAATCATTGGTTATGAATATATATTGTGTTATGTGGGGAAAAAATGCCAAAAATACTTGTGTGTAGTTATTGGTTTAAGAGAGACAGAGACAGAGACAGAGACAGAGACAGAGACAGAGATGGGGGCAGAGGCAGGGCTGGTGGCTTCTACAGTGTTTGATGAAAATCCAAAATGTAAATATGCATTTAAATAGCTACAGAAGTCATTCCATCGCAGGTAAGAGGATAATGTCCATCATATATACGTTTATCTTTTTTCTTTATTTCTTGCGAGTGTCAGGTATACAGTATTAAGTTAATCAACTCATGAGGTCATTGTGTAATTGCCATATTGATCCAACCAAAGCATAACTAAATTATTTTAATACTGTAGTATTTTTATCTCTCTTTCCTACTTCCCATTATCTGCTCCTTCACATACTAAGCACTCACTCTGAAATAAAGTGTAAACATATCAGTATATATTCTTAAAAAACAGATATATACATTTATTGTTTTATGTATGTTTATAATTAGTACCATATATGTATTTTTTAACTTTCATCTAATAATTTCACAGTCCTATTGAAGTTGTACTATATAAACAAATTCCATTGATTTTTTGTGACGTCGTGTTCCACAATTTGCCAGCACTACCACATTATAGTCATTCATTCCTACACTCATAGACTCTAGCCTGACTCCAAAGGCCCGCTACTATACCCTATACAAACATAACCACACCTATGCATGGCCTGTGTAAGAATTTCTCTTGCTTGTTTTCCGACGCAAATGAAACATGAATGATCCTATGAATCCACAACCTTACCTAAGTTTATATTATTTCATATTCAAAATTTGGATTTAAAAACAAAATATAAAACAGGGGCACCTGGGTGGCTCAGTTAAGTGTCTGACTTCGGCTTAGGTAATGATCTCACTGTTCGTGGGTTCTAGTCCTGCATCGGATTCTGTCTCTCTCTCTCTCTCTCTCTCTCTCTCTCTGCTCCTCCCCTGCTCATGCTCTGTCTCTCAAAAATGAATAAACATTAAAAAATAATAAAAAATAAAATAATAAAAACAAAATATAAAACAAATACAAATTAGGTATGAAGTGTGTGTGTATGTCTTCTTGTTATAACATTACCTCTTTGATTTTTTTAATGTTTATTTATTTTTGAAAGACAGAGAGACAGAGTGAGGGTGGGGAAGGGACAGAGAGAGGAAGACACAGAATCTGAAGCAGGCTCCAGGCTCTGACCTGTCAACACAGAGCCTGATGCAGGGCTTGAACTCACAAACCATGAGATCACGACCTGAACTGAAGTCGGATGCTTAATCGACTGAGCCACCCAAGTGCCCTACATCTTTAAATATATTTTTCTCCTTATATTTATCAAGCTTATCAATGTTGCACTATGTCTCATTATGTCATTTATAATTGTTCATCTGATTTTTTTTTCTCTTTTCTTTAACAACCTCGCTTCCCCTCTTCCCTTTTCAACTGGGAAACTATGTGTTTGTTGTGAAAAAATGGAATTTCCTGGAGGATATTTTCCGTGAATGACTCCTTTCTTTTTCATTTGAACTTTTCTTTTGAAATTCTTTCCTTTGTTTTTGCATTTTTGCAAAATAACTATGTGGTTTATTTATGTCTCCCATATATTTAGCAAATTCATTCCATTTGCCAAATATGGATGTATTTTACTTTTTCCACATCTACTTCTTTGAGACTATCCATTAGACCTCAGGCAGTATTTTGAGGTCTGTGCATTGTTGCCTTTCTATCTTTTTCATTTCCTAAGACTCAGATAGAGGACTCAGCTGAGACAACAAAAATCATTATTCATAGGCTGTGTCTCAGGCTCCATGAGCGCATGTGTGTGTGCTTGAGTGCATGTGTGTATATGTGTGTGTGTGAGAGAGATTGGATGAAAAGACTTCTATCTTTCCTGAGCTAGGCTTTACTCCACATAATCATTTTACATTGCTATAGGATGAGACATTGGAACTATTTTTCCAACACAAGTTCAGTCATGAACCGTTTACTCAAAATGATAAAAACCTCCGTAGGCATTTATTTCTGCATTATCTCTTCTCTATGCTAAAGTTGCTTTTACTTCCCTTCTTGCCATGAGAAGAAAAGCTTATGAATTCTGACCATAATATTAATGCAAATTTTTAGAGAGAGATAATGGTGCCTCAGTTCCTCTACTTCCTATTCCTACTATTTTTTAATATCACTTATTCTTTTTTGCCCTTTACTTATTTTAAGTCTCACATCCCAGTAGATCCAAACTCCAATCCTCTTTTCACAGGCAGATCATCTTTTGTTATCATGAATCCCATGTTGCACTTGCTTTACCCCTTTCAATGGCTTCCCATTACTGTTACAGTAAAATCTAGAATTGTCATGGTGTATTAGACCACACATTACCTAGCTCCTTGTTTATTTTAACCTCATTTCACTTCACTCTTGTGTCCACAGGCAACACATCAGTTATACTAGTCTTTCTTTTCTTAAATATATACAGAAATGGAGGCAGTTTTGTGCGTGTGTGTGTGTGCGTGTGTGTGTGTATTTGTACATCTATTTTCTACCTCTGTCCATTAAGGGGACTTACAAAAAATGGCATCCTGCAATTAATGAGAACATCTAGCATTTAAATATTGGTTTGTAAATACCATTTCCCAATAAAATGAACAAAATTCCAGGACTGTGGCTGGGAAAGTCCCAGATAAGCCTGGAACATCTTGGCATACCAGAAAATAAGAAATTTCTTTATAAATGATAGAAGCATATCAAAAAATTACAGGAATCACTAGGAAGGATCTATCAATGACCAAATAAGAGTTTTTTGAACAAAAAAATAAACAACACTGTTATAAGATTATAATGCATAAAGTAAATATCCATGACTAAATACCGATACCAATAATGAAGCAAATGAATTAATGAATAAGAAAGAAGCATTCTTCCTTAGAGTAGAATTCAAATTAATGAATGTGGAAAGAATGATGGACATAGACAATCACAATTTGGCAAATACCAGTTATAAATGTTGGAAGGCAAGAATAATTGATGGATGTTAAATTAGGTGGGTAAAATATATAAAGATGAACAGAATACTTTCATAGTCTCAAAATATCTCCCCACAAGATAGTGATTAATTACTAATGGAATACAGTAATTTATAGCAGAGAATCTTGAGAGGTACCATCTGAACAAAATTTAATATTACCAGTAAAAAGTGATAGGTAGCATGAACATTTTGTACTTCCTGATATGATACTGTGAGAAGAGCAAAGCATCATTTCTTTACATTACTGCCAAAATTACACAATTCATTCTAGTCTAAGGACACGTCATATAGATCCATATCAGGGGATGGTCTATGAAATAATCAGCCAGTACTTTTCAAATGTGTCAAGGCTGTGAAAGACAAACAAAACTGAGGAACTGTCCCACACTGAAGGGGACTAAGGAAATGTGACAGCTATGAGCAATGTGAAGTCCTGAGTTAAACTCTAGATCAGAAAAAGTACATTATTGGAGCAATTGGTAAAATCTGAATAATATCTGTGAATAGTTAATACTGTAACAATGTTAATTTCCTAGTTTGATAAGTGTCCTATAATTATTTAAAATGTAAAATTAGGGGAACTGAGTGAAGGATATACATATATATATACCATATATATATGGTTCTTGGAATATCATGTATATTCTTACAATATCATTTTTCAACTTTTTTGTAAGATCATATTACTTTTCTGCTTAAAATCATCTTATAACTTTCCACTTCACTCAGAGAAAATTATTAAATGTTTTTACCTGGTCTACAAGGTGCTACACGATCCACACCTAGTTACATATCTGATCAACCCCCTTCCATACTCACCTCACTGTTTTTACTACACTATCCTTTTTTAAAATTTCTCCTCCAAAATTCTAAGCCTGACTTGCCTAAAGGTCTTTGTGCTGTTATATCTGTCTGGAAGGCATTTCCCAAAGAACCTCAGTGGATCCCTTACCCTCTGAGATAAAATAACAGCCCCCTTTCTCATTATCACTTATTATCCATTTAACCAACTCTGTTTTGCTTCGTAGGATGTCTCATATTTTGACATACTTATGTAATCCTTATTAATATTTTTAAAATTTATTTTAAGTAAGATCTATGCCCAGCGTGGGGCTAGAATTCATGACCTGAGATCGAGAGTTGTATGCTCTACCAACTGAGAGAAACAGGCATCCCATATTTTAAATTTTCATGTCTTTATTCAATGTTAAAAGCAACTAACTGATCAGACTCAGACTCCACTCATTAATAAGATTGGTGATTGAAAGATGGTGCTAATTTGTGATTACATTCCCAAACACCTATTATATCTAGATGATTATTTGTAGCAAATGAAATTTAAGCATACATGATATTTTTGTGTCTTCTGAATTAACAAGCACGTGTGCTGTCCTGAGAGGTGTGTTTTTTTTGTTGTTGTTTTTTTTTTTTTTTGTTTTGTTTTGTTTTTTTTTTTTTTTTACCTGTTACTTAGGGGAGAGGACTCTGAAGACCAAGAAGAGGACTGAGCCACAATATGGAAGATCATTTTCCAAAAATAGCCAAGCGAAGACCCCTCAACCATGAGGATTCTTGGTAGACTGTGACATAAAAATAAAATAAAGATTGACTGTGTTAAATTGCTGAGGATTTAGAATCTATATTTTACAACATCTAGAATTATACAACATCTAGAATTACAATTATAATGAATAATAATGAAATGTGTTCCTTAAAGTTTAGCTATATCATTGGCTTAGTTTTTGACATGAAATGAAACAAAGTTTCTGATATAACATTCAAGGTTCAACACACACTCACTGAACTACAGATCTAAGCAAAGAGGTTGGAAAGTGGAATGCTAGTTATGTCTCTTGTTTATCCTAGTCAAAGATAAACCTTTGACTTTTGAGCATTAAAACAAGTCTCAGGCATGGAACTTGCTAAGGCCAGAAGCTGAAAAAGTTTGCAGCACCTCATGAAGGCACACTTTATTTACTTCATTAAAATATAAGTGTTTTATTTTTTATTTTTAAAGTTTTTATTTAAGTTCCAGTTAGTTCACATATAGTGTTATACTAGTTTCAAGTGTACAAATCAGTGATTCAACACTTCCATAGAACACCAGGTGCTCATGACAACAAGTACACTCCCTAATCCCCTTCATCCGTTTAACCCATCCCCCACTTCCTCCCCTCTGGTAACCATCACATTGTTCTCTGTAATTAAGAGTCTGTTTCTTGGTTTGGAAGGCACCCTTTCTTGCTACAGCTTTAGATGTTACAAAAGAGGATAATGCAAAAGGAAGAACTGCTCCCCTTGCCATCCAGAGCAAGGACTCACAGAGAAAAATGGATTAAAGAATTTCTACCAAAAATAAGAAATAATATCTATTCTAAAAGGTAAGGCTGTCATCCTTTGCAACTCAGATTTCATCATCCCTGTGAATAAGTGCTACGTGGTCCCAGTTCTTTGCTTTTCTCAAATGTGTTATTTGTTTTGTTTTAATTACAGTTTTACCTTGTCTCAGCTCCACTCCTGTATATTTGGAATTTTGGAGCTGCAGACATGTATCTATTCTAGCTCACACTTTGCCGGTTCAAGAAGAACCACATCCAGATCTTATGGAGATGACTTCTCACTACTTGGACCTTAAATCAGATGCAGTTATTAGAGGCAATTTGTGTTGTATTCTTTGGAGAAAGTACAAGACATTCTGTGTTTCAGAAGAAAAGTAGAAGACAGATTTGCTTATCACCATGGTGAACAGTGGCAATGACAGTTAGTTGATCATACGCATCTTGCTGTCTTCACAGGGTTTAATTTTGCTTGGAATCAGTTGTAAAGTCAGGAGTCCTCTTCCCATGTCTTGCTCCCCATGTTGGGAACTTGAGCCATGCTCTCAATGATGGAACAAGAGCAAAAATGATTTGTCTCTTTCAATCTGAAGTAGTTAAGAGGATGCTGTGTTTTCTCGATGTTCTCTTTCCCCATTGGTCAGATGAATGGAAAGTAACCCATGACTTTGAGGGATGCCTCTGGATGAAAGAAAACTGTTTGCTTGATTTAACCACATGGAAGGCCCCAACCAGGAATACACTCAATGTTCAGTGACATAAATAAGAAACAAACCTTAAGCTGTATAACCCATTGAGTATTTTAGATTTAGCTGTTACAGCAACCAGAATTACCTGAACTACTCATCTATTAGAGTGTTAGTTTCATGAAAACTATTATGTTGTTGTTCACTGCTTTATCCACAACATGTAGAACAGTTACTCATTCTAAATGAATACATGTAATAATGAAAGAGTAAAAGAAGAAAATAAGGAAGAAATGAATGAACGAAAACAGAAGAGGACTAAATATATTTAATTCTAGGGGCACCTGGGTGGCGCAGTTGGTTAAGTGTCCAACTTCAGCTCAGGTCACGATCTCGCGGTCCGTGAGTTCGAGCCCCGCGTCGGGCTCTGGGCTGATGGCTCAGAGCCTGGAGCCTGTTTCCGATTCTGTGTCTCCCTCTCTCTCTCTGCCCCTCCCCTGTTCATGCTCTGTCTCTCTCTGTCCCAAAAATAAATAAACGTTAAAAAAAATTTAAAAAAATATATATATATATATTTAATTCTATCAACTTTTTATTTTCCTATGTGAAAACATTAAAAAATAACAATAACAATATACCATTCAGTATCAGTAACTGAACATGTTGTTATTATCCCAGTATTATAAGAACAACTAGCACTAAAATAAATCCCAGTTCTTAAAATTGCACACATTTAATTATATGTGTGTGTATATATAGTTTTTTTGTTTTTCCATAAACTTGCCAATGGCAGATTTAAATAAAACAAAACAAAACAGAACAAAACAAAACAAAACAGCCTTACTGAAAAACCTATGAGTGTGTGCAGTGCTATTTAGGAACAGACCTTTTGCAAAGGCATCACACTCAGGATATTTTAGTGAATTAAGGGTAGACTTGGAATTCCCTACCTTTTAACAAAATGTGAAAATCTCAGCACATTGCCTGATATGTAGTAAGCATTACATCAAATTTGTAAAATTTTATTCACTTCCTATAATATTAACTAGTGAGGAAACAGCCCCTCTAATTTATTTATATTTTTATCGAAAATGAAAATTATATTCATGTATTACTTATTAAGTTCCATGTACATCTCATTTATCATATCATTTAAGAAACACAGGCACACAGTCACATAGCTAGTCTGTGGTATAGTGATCTTGAAACCTAAGTGTAGTTTTACCCACTATATCACTTAGCTTGAAGAGTTATTATGATTCCAAAACAGAATGAATGATAAGCTGTCTCTCTCCTAACTGTAATACAAAGGGTTGCAAACAGTTATTTTCCATAGTTCCTTAAACTAAGGCAAGAGAATCAGTTAAAGTTCATTCTAATATTGGTACATGATTACAAATTCATCAACCAAAGATGAAAATGAGTTTAAAAAAAAAGATTCTATTCCTCTACCAAGATTCAAAAATAATAACAATATATTTCTATCAGAAACCTAAAAGACAATAAGACCTAAACGGTTTTACAATAGAATTGCCGAATGTTTTCATCTTGAGGAAAAACATTTAAACTTTAAGATTATTATGTAAACCTAGAAATAACTTTAACAGCAAAGAGAAAAGAATTAATTCTATACCCAAACACAGAAAGAAATGCACTGAATATTATTTTCCCTAGAATTCAAAATGATACTTTTGCTATTTGAAATCAATTAAAAGTAAAAAGTCACGGTTTTTATTTTATAAACCTGAAATAATTATAATGCAGTTGGGTAAAATATATCTAACTGTTGAAGCAATTTTTTTTAATATAGAAATCAATGATTTTTCTCCAAAGGAAAGCATTAATCACACAATTATAGAAAATTAGATTATAAAATTTTATAACAAAGACGATAATTCTGAATAATAGAGAAACAGAAATTATTCACATCAAAAAGAATGCTTTCAGAAAACTCAGCATTCTGAATGTTAATTTCATAACATCAAATTGATTGAGGCATGACTAACGTAATAAAAGCTAAAGCAGAAAGCACCTAGGGCGTTAGGCATTAGAATCAGAGTGAGAATTGAAATAGAGAAGCAGATATATAGAAATTATTGAAAGTATAATGTTCTTATCTATGCTACTGCAGAATTTTTTTATCTTTTTAATATAATAATCTCCTTAAAATATCTATGTTGAAATATATCATATAGGCAAGCATGTATGTGTGCGTGGTATAATCTATAAATTTATATTTTAGAAAATTTATATTGCCAAGCTGTTACTCTGGCTTTATAGACCCTGCAATAAAGGTTAATATCATGTGGCATACAGGTCTCTGTGAAGAGAAACATAATTACCGAGCATTCTCATACTTACCATGACATAGCTTCATACCAGAATTAATTATTTAGTTGTTTTTACTAAAAATACTAGAATATGTTTAGCTTTAAAAATTACATAGACAAGTAAGGAAATACCTTTGTGTCACATAAACTATATTTCTAAATTCATTATACCTTGCAACACAATTAACTAGGCCAGTTATCTCACTGCCCCTGCTATATAATTTTTACATTACTTTTATACCTTATGTCATACAACTGTTCTTGACTATAATGATCTTCCAATTTCTTGGGCAGTTTATCATCATGACAACAAAAAGTCAAGCTCTAAACTTACATTCCATGGAGCCTTCTCTGAATCACCTCATTTATTTTGCTCAACTCTTTAGTGTTTTGTTCCAAAGAGCATTCTTCCAAAATAAATTTCTAATTAACTCTGAAATGGATTTTAACTTGCTTGAGTGCAAAGTGATATCTTTATATGAGCACCTATACATTTATACATATACATATGCAGGTTGTACATAGTCTCTTTACTACCTGACCAGATCTCTGGTCCTCAGATAATTGCTTGGCATTTATTGGTAGAAACCAATTAAGTATTTATCAATTGGCATCATTCCCTTATTTCTTCTATTCCCTGAAGTTCATTAATATCCAGTTCACAAAATATGCTATTTCTCACAAATTTGGAATTTTTCACACTTTTCTTCTTATTGTTATTATTTATCCTAGATAATTGTTCATAATTTATTTTGTGACTAAATGCCACAAAAATGATTTTCAGTGATTCACTGAAGTATGTATATAGGTGTGCCTCAGAATTTATCAATTATAAGAAAGTGTACTCCAAGGCAAGGCAAATCAAAATCTTCAGGGATTTTGATAGGAATTTAATTATAGTTTTTAAATAAAAATATTTGTTTCATGCAAACTGAAGGGAGCAGTGGTTAACAAATTTCTCTCAGTTGGTGATAAGAAGCTGAATATCAAGCACCAATTTTAAACTTGGAATTGATTTTTGACCAGGGAGGGGTTCTTCCCATGAAGAGAAGAAATGTATGTAATTCTGAGAAAGTTCAACATTTTAAGTTACCATAAAGGAATACATGTTTTAAAAATATTATTTTTTAAAGTTTTTTAAAAATGTATTTAGTTAGAGAAAAAGAGAGAGCATGAGCGGGGGAGGGGTACATGGAGAAGGAGCGAGAGAATCTCAGGCAGGCTCCGCGCCCAGTGTGGAGCCGATGCTGGGCTTGATCTCATGATCATGA